GGGCTAATCCGGGGGGGGGTCTCATTGGGCTAATCTTCGGGGGGGACATGGATCTGCTCTGCATGGGTCAGTAGGCCTGTTGCAGTGTTCCTTCTTTCTTATGTTCCTGTGTTCTTATGTGTGTAGAGCAAGTGTTTACAGTGAAACATATAGGTGAACAGTATTTAGATAAGGATTAAGATGGTTTTTTGGCATTTATGGATTTGGAAAAGGCGTATGACAAGGTGGATAGGGGGGCAATGTGGCAGATGTTGCAGGTGAATGGAATGGGAAGTAGGTTACTAAAAGCAGTAAAGAGTTTTTACGAGGATAGTGAGGCTCAGGTTAGAGTATGTAGAAGAGAAGGAGATTATTTCCCAGTAAAACTAGGCCTTAGACAAGGATGTGTGATGTCACCATGGTTGTTCAATATATTTATAGATGGGGTTGTAAGAGAAGTGAATGCGAAGGTCTTGGCAAGAGGTGTGGGGTTAAAAGATAAAGAATCTAGCTCAGTGTGGGAGTTGTCACAGCTGATGACTCTGCTTTCGAGAGACTCTGAAGAGAAGTTGCATAAGTTGGTGGATGAATTTGGTAGGGTATTTAAAAGAAGGAAATTAAGAGCGAATATTGAAAAGAGTAAAGTGATCAGGGTAAAAAAAAAAAGATTAGGTGATGAAAGATTGGATATCAGATTGGAGGGAGAGAGTATGGATGAGGTGAATGTATTCAGATATTTGGGAGTGGACGATTCAGCAGATGAGTCTATGAAGGATGTGATGAATCATAGAAGTGATGAGGGAAAAAGGGTGAGTGGTGCACTTAGGAGCCTGTGGAGACAAAAAATTTGTCCGTGGAAGCAAAGAGGGGTATGTATGAGAGTATAGTTATACCAACACTCTTATATGGGTGTGAAGCATGGGTGACGAATGTTGCAACAAGGAGAAGGCTGGAGGCAGTGGAGATGTCATGTCTGAGATCAATGTGTGGTGTGAATATAATGCAGCGAATTCGTAGTTTGGAAATTAGAAGGTGTGGGATTACCAAAACTATTATCCACATGTCTGTGGTTCAGACATGTAGAGAGAATGTAACAAAGTAGAATGACTTCGAGAGTGTGTAAATTTATAGTGGAGGGAAGACAGGGTAGGGGTTGGCCTAGGAAAGGTTGGATGAACATTAAAATGGAAAGGTTGGGGGGAGGGGGTAAATGAGGTTTTGTGTGCAAGGGCTTTAGACTTCCAGCAAGCATGCGTGAGCGTGTTTGATAGGAGTGAATGGAGACAAATAGTTTTTAATACTTGACATGCTGTTGGAGAGTGAGAAAAGTAACATTTATTAAGGGATTCAGGGAAACCGGCAGGCCGGACTTGAGTCCTGGAGATGGGAAGTACAGTGCCTGCACTCTGAAGGAGGGATGTTAATGTTGCAGTTTTATAACTGTAGTTTAAAAATCAGAAGGAAGTGCAAGGTTACCAAATGTATTCAAAGGGCTGAGGTGGTTGGGACGTTTGGAGAGGATGGACCAAAATAGGATACCATGGAAGGTGTTTAAATCTGTCGTTCTAGGAAAGGTTAGAGGGAGGGGGTAAAGGAGGGACTGCATGTGAGGGGCTTGGACATCCAACAGGAGTGTATTAGATAGTGGAAGCAAGTGGTTTTTATGATTTGACATGCTGTTGGAGTGTGAGCAAAATAACACTTGGATTCAGCGAAACCAGTTACCTGGATGGTGGGAAGTACAGTGCCAGCACTCTGAAGGAGGGGCGAGGATATTGCAGTTTGGAAGAGAATCTGAAATTTAGTGTTGGCATGCCTCTGGCAAGACAGTGATGGAGTGAGTGATGGTGAAAGTGTCTCTTCTTTTTCGGATTCTACATTGGTGGGAGTAATTTTAGCAAGTCTTAAGCTGGGTATCATTTAGGTAAATTATACGGTCTCTCACTAAATATTTATAACTATGACCATAATTTTTTAAGGGGTAGACCGGTGAGCCAGCGGAAGGCCTCGGTCAGATGACCAGAAGCTCCAACAGTGGATCATCATATGACTATGACCTGCGTCAGGAAACATTTGTCCAGTTTTCTGACGAACCTCCCCTCAAGGAAGGTTCCTTGACGCTGGTGAGGGGCTCTTGAGCTAGGGAATTGCATCTGTGGCTCCAGTTCTCTGAATTAAGCCTGAATACCTTTCCACCCACCCCCCCACAAGCGCTGTATAATCCTACGGGTTTTGCGCTTCCTCCTTGATTATAATAATCCTGATGAACCTTACCTTCCTAACCTAAGCTACATTATATATTACATCAATTTCTTTTGTGGGAAGATGAAGTTGTTTGTTTTGTATGTCATGTAGAATCACAGAAACATCCATCATTACTCATGAAAATTCTCAAAGATACATTTTTGTGAAGTAATTCTGTTTGTTTGACCTCTCCTAGCTAAACATCACGACTGTACTGCATAATTGTCTTAAGCCCCTTAACTGTTGTATGTTTACACACGGGATGAGTGGCATTTTTTCAAGGAATTGACCCTAGAGGTAAAATATTTTATATTGATGTTAAAATTTTATTTTCATTTTCTTTTCAGCCTTCAGCGGGTGCTTGCCCAGGTCAGAAATTGTGTTGTCCTGATGGCAGCGTTCCTCCACGACCAGGCCAGATAGGTAGGCCCAGGCCTGTCCGTCCCTTCCCAGCGCAGATTAACACTGGTGCTTGCGGCATCCAGAATCCTCAACCATTAAATGGCCAGGGAGCTAACATTGCTGAGGTAACAACACCACAAAACTTTTTTTTTCTTTCTATTTTTAAGTATCACCGAAGGAGGACCTTTAAGAGGTTGCTCGATATTTTTTATTTTAATTTTCCTAAGAACATCTCATCAAGTCGGCTTCAGAATCTTGGAACAATATGCATGTTCATGTTCTCTGTGACCGAAGTTATTGAACCCATTCCTTGCATCCTGGAATGACTCGGATAACTTCCAAAATCCTCAGTGGCGCAGCTTCAAACATTCTATAATGCTGCCTAATAATTCCACAACGGCAGATAGTGATTTGCTCACTATACTTCTACACCATGATCCGGCACTATGGTTCCACCATGTTCTACACTATTCTTCCACACTATACTTCCATGTTACGTTGCAGATTCAGTAGTCACCAACGTTCGCCTACCCTACACATTCATCAGTCATTATTATCAAAACTAAGCACTACACCCACAAGGGTCATACAGTGCTGCCCATCAGTATTTAACAACTTCGACTACATTTCGGTCTGTCCTGAACCAATATTAGGTCAGTCCATATTATTTTCAAGGGAAAGCGCTAATACTGTAATGTTTAATGAGTTTGTTTGGTGTTCTGGTAGCGGGGAGTAAATGATACGTCTTCGGAGGCTTCTTACTTTATTGTTAAGTCACGCCGGGTGGGTACACAGGCTTGTGTGTTGTGCCCATGGCCCGGGAGGGCCATCCCACGAGAGAGCTACTGGTAGGCCTTGTGTCTTCCTGCTAGGCCGCTGTGTGAGTGAGGCAGAGGCAAAGGCAGGCAGGCTGGCATGCCCACCGAGAGGCCTGGCTACAGAGGGCAGCACCTTAGTGCCGCAAAATATGAACTAAGCTAGCAGACAGCATGGGCTGTCTGTGCAGACAGTACAGGCTGTCTACATATGCTCGGCCACCTACCACGCGTTGTCCTGATGCGACAATACTGGTGATAAAGGAAACTCGGTCTCTCTCTCGTAGGAACAGGGCACAGAACACAAAATAACATATATATACATATGGACATGGAAAAAAAAAACTTCCTACAGGGAGGGAAGAAAAAACATGTGGGTGTGCTAAACATCGTGGTCATAGGCAGTGAGCGTTGAAGCGCATCACTGCATGCCTTCCTGCGTCTGGACAGATACTGCAACTCAGGAGACATTGCTGCGGCTGAGCTGTGACGTAACAGATTACGGTCTCCTTTGGAACGGTGAAGCAGTCATCGTAGGAGTTGCTGCAGGTTTTCACTCAACCTGGGGCACGACATGCTGGTGCCCTCGAGTGAGGTGTCGACAAAACTCGGCAACTGGGCAGGACTTCTGGCAAGTGACTCAGGAGGACACTTCTTGACTGGTACTGTCACTGGGCTGCCACTGCCGGCGAGCATGGAGCGAGTTGTGGAGCGAGTCATGGCATAGACGATTGGGCAAAACATCTGGGAGTCGTAACATCATACACCAGACTGCAGTGAGAGAGCTAGAAGTCAAAGTGACATCTTTGTGCAGGCTGCTCACTGAAGCTTGTGACACGAGGCTGACACAGCACCTGCTGACAGGGCTAACTGCGGCTTGACGAGTGTCATTCTCTCGGCAGTTGGAGTTATAGCAGAGGTTAGTCTAAGCATCCCCAGACTTGTTTCTCTACATATAACTGCATTCTGAAGGTCTGGAGGTGAAGTGAAACAAATCAAGATGGGAATCGTAGCAGGTACAATTCTGCAGAACATCACGAGCAACGAGCATAAAAGCTTTCTGTACAAGAGGGTTCAGTCACTCGGGGCTGTCTAATAGCTGTCAAACACACTGGTCACATCGGGTGACTTGGCACAGTGGTGCTACTCAGGTCTGGCTCAGACCTCACTGGACACACGGAAACTTTAAACACACACCCGTGGTACATGCGGTACACTAACATGTGAGAACACTAAGAGGAATTAATTAACACACGACATATATCTTCTCGACAATACTGAAATAATCACTAGAAACACTCGATGTGACATCATGTGATGTCGCGAGGTGATGTCAGCCACACTGTGATGTCAGGCAGACATCGTGACGTCAGGAAGTCGGGCAGCATCGTCGGTGACATCAGTATGATGTGGGCAGCAGACCACAGCATGTGGCCTGGGACATCTGGCTCGGTAACTCACGTGGCTCGTAGGTCCACGTGACATCGTCCACACCCCACATGGCGTCGTGATCTACGTGGCATGCTGATCCACATGGCTTGCTGATCCACGTGGCTTGCTGATCCACATGGCTTGCTGATCCACATGGTTTGCTGATCCACATGGCTTCGAGTGATCTATGTGGCATGCCAATCCACATGGCTTGCTGATCCACATGGCTTGCTGATGCACGTGGCTTGCTGATCCACATGGCTTGAGAAACAGCATGGGATGCTGTAGCATGGGGTCACTGGGACGCCACTTACAATTCTCGAAGAAATTCGGCAAATTTCGGCTGGATCCTGCTTGTACCTGTGTCTGGATGCTGTAACATGCAGACACAACATCAGGATAACTCGTTGAGAGACAGATGCTTGTTGTGTAGGGGAGATGAAGTGAACAACTTCATTCCTATATATATATATATATATATATATAATATATATATATATATATATATATATATATATATATATATATCTCAAATGATTTAGATAAAGAAAAATTGGATATTAAATTGGAGAGGAGGAGTATGGAAGAAGTGAATGTTTTCAGATATTTGGGAGTTGACGTGTCGGCGGATGGATTTATGAAGGATGAGGTTAATCATAGAATTGATGAAGGAAAAAAGGTGAGTGGTACATTGAGGTATATGTCGAGGCAAAAAATGTTATTTATGGAGGTAAAGAAGGGAATGTATTTAAGTATAGTAGTACCAACACTCTTATATGGGTGTGAAGCTTGGGTTGTAAATGCTGCAGCGAGGAGGCGGCTGGAGGCAGTGAAGATGAATCTAAGGGCAATGTGTGGTGTAAATATTAGGCAGAAAATTCGTAGTGTGGAAAATTAAGAGGTGTGCAGTTACTAAAAGTATTAGTCAGAAAGCTGGAGAGAGGTTGTTGAGGTAGTTTGGCCATTTAGAGAGAATGGATCAAAGAAGAATGACTTAGGTTGTAAATCTGTAGGGGAAGGAAAGTGGGGTAGGGGTCGTCCTCGAAAAGGTTGGAGGGAGGGGGCAAAGGAGGTTTTGTGGGTGAGGGGCTTGGACTTCCAGCAAGCGTGCGTGAGCGTGTTAGATAGGAGTGAATAGAAAACAAATGTTTTTTGGAACCTGACGAGCTGTTGGAGTGTAAGCAGGGTAATATATTGTGAATTGATTCAGAGAAACCGGTTAGCTGGACTTGAATCCTAGAAATGGAAAGTATAATGCCTGCACTTTTAAGGAGGGGTTCGTGATGTTGGCAGTTTGGAGGGACATTTAAACTGTCGTATCTGAGCGCCTCTGCAAAGACAGTGATTATATATGAGTGATGGTGAAAGTGTTGAATGATGATAAAAGTTTTTTCTTTCTTTTTGGGTCACCCTGCCTCGGTGGGAAACAACCGACGTGTTATATATATATATATATATATATATATATATATATATATATATATATATATATATATATATATATATATATATATATAATGTGTGTATCGTGCCGAATATGCAAAACTGGTCAATTAGCAAGAACTCATTTAAAATTAGGTCCTTTCCGAAATTTTCTTTTAAACGTTTAAAGATATATTTTTTTTCATTAATGTTAATGTAAAATTTTTTAATTTCGCACCAAAAGAATCTTAGAAAACTTACCTAACCTTATTATAACAAGAGCAATTTATTTTAGCCTAACCCAACTATATATATTTTAGATTTGTTTACAGTAATTTAATACTTAACAAACAAAGTGAAATATATTTTTTTCGTTAGGTTCAGAATGATTTTGGCGAAATTATTGCATACACAAATTTTCACTTGTCCTATATGGCAAGATGAACGTTGTTATTTAAGCTAAGATCGCAAGTTCTGCCTATTCGGCACGACATATTATATATATATATATATATATATATATATATATATATATATATATATATATATACCTGGAGTTTACCTGGAGAGAGTTCCGGGGGTCAACGCCCCCGCGGCCCGGTCTGTGACCAGGCCTCCTGGTGGATCAGAGCCTGATCAACCAGGTTGTTACTGCTGGCTGCACGCAAACCAACGTACGAGCCACAGCCCGGCTGATCAGGAACCGACTTTAGGTGCTTGTCCAGTGCCAGCTTGAAGACTGCCAGGGGTCTGTTGGTAATCCCCCTTATGTATGCTGGGAGGCAGTTGAACAGTCTCGGGCCCCTGACACTTATTGTATGGTCTCTTAACGTGCTAGTGACACCCCTGCTTTTCATTGGGGGGATGTTGCATCGTCTGCCAAGTCTTTTGCTTTCGTAGTGAGTGATTTTCGTGTGCAAGTTCGGTACTAGTCCCTCTAGGATTTTCCAGGTGTATATAATCATGTATCTCTCCCACCTGCATTCCAGGGAATACAGGTTCAGGAACCTCAAGCGCTCCCAGTAATTGAGGTGTTTTATCTCCGTTATGCGCGCCGTGAAGGTTCTCTGTACATTTTCTAGGTCAGCAATTTCACCTGCCTTGAAAGGTGCTGTTAGTGTGCATATATTTTTATATATATATATATATATATATATATATATATATATATATATATATATATTATATATATTATATATATATATTACCAAAATTAATATCAAGAGGGCTGAGGAAGGGTTGTTGAGGTGGTTCGGACATAGAGAGGATGGAACGAAATAGAATGACTTCGAGAGTGTATAAATCTGTTGTGGAGGGAAGGCGGGGTAGGGTTCGTCCTCGAAAAGGTTGGAGGGAGGGAGCAAAGGAGGTTTTGTGTACTAGGATGTTAGACTTTCAGCAAACATGTTAGATAGGAGTGAATGGAGACAAATGGTGTTTAGGACTTGACGTCCTGTTGGAGTGTAAGCAGGGTAACATTTGTGAAAGGATTCAGGGAAACCGGCCAGGACTTGACTCCTGGAGATGGGAAGTACAGTGTCTGCACTCTGAAGGAGGGGTGTTAATGTTGCAGTTTTATAATTGTAGTGTCAGCACGCCTCTGGGAAGACATTGGAATAAATGATGGTGAAAGTTTTTCTTTTTCGGGCTACCCTGCCTTGGCGGGAAACGGTCGATGTGTTAGTATTAGCTACGAGCCGCCACTGGTGGTAAGTTTATGGTCCAAGTTGGACTGAAACGTCTCATAAGTTTCATTCTACTATGAGCGGGTTATGTGTATTATTCTAGTGATGGTATTGTGCTTTTTTATTTTTTATGGCACAGGCTTAGTAGCCCTTGTGTAGTCGATAGGATTCAAACCTAGTAAAGTAAACAACACTTACCGACAGGCTGACTTCGGAGAGTACCCGTGGATGGCTGTGGTGTTAGACTTCGATGATAACTACAAGGGCGGTGGCGCTCTCATCAGTGAGAACTGGGTGCTCACAGCTGCTCACAAGGTTGTTAATGAGAGGTAAGTCATTAGGCCTTTCTCATACAAGAACAACCAGTCCTATACAAATGTGGACTTTTGTTTTTGAGGTACTATATTCTTTTCTTCAGCCATTTCAGTTTTCGGTGCAACTTTATCGTGCGGTCTACCAGCTCATTTACACTTTAGCGTGCGGTCTACCAGCACTTTAGTGTGCATCCAACCAGCACTTTTACACATAACCTAACCTAGACCGCACGTTAAAAGTCAGTTCTCAGCGTAGACTACAAATACTGTGCTAGACCTCACGCTAAAGTAGCACCAGTTTTCTTTGTTAATACAAAAATGTTTCAACATAATTATTGCACTTAAGAGATATCAGTTGATGCTCCAGAGCATCAAGGAAAAGAGAGAAGCTCCGCTAGCAGCAGATCTATGTAATGAATGAGAGGGGAACAGACCTCTCTGGTACTTAGTATTATATTAACCGCACATGCTGCTCAGGCGCACTCACTGCTAACCAAACAATTGGTGGTGGCTTGAGGAATAAAAATCACTAAAATACGTACAGGAGGTTACTGTTGTGGCTGAGAGCCACAACAGTAACAGAGTATTAATTGTGTCACCCGTATGTATCAACTTCACCATCGCGACGGTCTGGAGTTTTGAGACTCTCTGACCGCGGGTTCAAATCCCGCCCGTGGTATGGTTTGTTTGCAGTCGTGTCATTACGATTTCGTGAGTCAACAAAACATGTCTTACCAGAGCAGGCAGGAATCCGTAACAAAGTGAATTTCACCTGACGCTCAAATTACAATGTAAAGTATCCACGTTAGGGGCAGGGAACTCCCCTATCTTTATATTCCTCAATAAGTGAACAATTAAGCACAATTAGCCACATACTTTGCATTTGCTTTGATCATCATCTGTGTGTCTGTCAAACTGCCAGAAGTACTTATAACCAAATCTAATTCTGGCCACTACAACACTAGTCGACTGGTGTGGGTCGCATCCTGGGGGACAAGATTGAGGATCCAAACGAAAATAAGATAAACAGTCCCTTGATGACGCACTGCCTCTCTTGGGTTACCCTGGGTGCCTAACCCTCCGGGGTTAAAAATCTTATATCTTACTGTCCACTTATTGAGGAATATAGAAATAGACAGTATAATAACTTACATAACTTGCCAAGATATCTATTAATGAAAATAGGATACCAGGCGTATTAGAAAAATAAACACAAAAGCAGTATAATGTGATCCTTTAATAACAACGTTTCGCCCACACAGTGGGCTTTATCAAGTCACAAACAGAACTACCCGGGTGAATAGTACATGAGTATTTTGTAGAGTGGAGAGTCAGGTGGAGAATGCTGGGTAGGTTGAATCTGAGATGAACCTGTAAGAGACGGGCGAGTGTGTATGTTATGTGGGATGACGAAGAAGTTTCTTGGCAAAGTGTTTAGCTATGTTATAGAAGTCGTTATTTTGGGTGAAATTGTTAGATATACAGATAAGTGATGATTTGAGGATTCTGCGGTACTGACTGTTTTCTTCTCTGGAGATAAGTTTTGTGTTTCTGTAGTTGATTCAATGGTTGTTAAAGTTTAGGTGTTGAACACAGGAGTTACTTGAATCGTCCCATCTGCTTGCGTACTGGTGTTCTGAAATGCGTGTTTGGAAGTCTCTGGATATTTCGCAGTGGATTGAACTTTGTCGTGTCTATTATTGGTGATGTCCTTGATGGTGGTGGATGTGGAGATTGACAATTGGAATGAGGTATTGGAAAAGATTTTGGAAATGTGTTTGGAAACGGAGTTGGTTGGGGAGGATTGTGTATCTCTTCTCAGCAGTGAGTTAAAGATGTTATGTGTCCGGCATTTGCAATCTCTAATGAAGTGACGAGGATAGTGAAGTTTAGAAAATACTTGTTCAGTTAGAGAACATTCTTCCTCAAGGAACTCCTTGCTACAGATTCGGAGTGCACACAGGAAAAAACCTATAATTATACCACGTTTGGTTTTGGTGTCGTGGTGAGAGTAGAAGTAGAGATGATAGTATTGGTTGGTGGGTTTTCGATAGACTTTAAAACGAAGTTCATGGTCAGATTTGCATAGAAGAACATCAAAGAAAGGAAGAGTGCTGTCGACTTCTTCTATACTGCATATGTGTTTATTTTTCCATCATGTCGGTATTTTATACCATTTGTTATCAGACATATTAAGCAGTTTCCCTAAATTTGCTAGTAACAGACAAGTGAACTGTATAAATAAATCCAGATGTACTCTTGTAAACCTTTTTGGGGCCTAGTTCCTAGGCCTTTTGTGTATCCATATGCTCTAGAGCTACCGTCCATAGGATGGATATGGGGTGCACAATAAACTAGCCACTTCGGTGGCAAAATCTAATCGAATAATCTTGAACTGTGATACTTTAGATCAGGGCAGTTCTGCACATTCTAGTGTGCCACATGCGGCCTGCAGACTGTATGGAGGATGTACCTAATCCACAGCATAAAAATTTTTTTTTTTTTGCTCTCCTCAGGAACCTGAAGGTGCGGTTGGGTGATTACGATGTAAGTATCCCTCAGGAACACCCATCACTCAGTCATGTGGATATACCTGTCAGTAATGTGATCATTCACCCACAATTTAAGAGCGACACACTGCAGAATGATGTGGGTTTACTGCGGCTGAGGAACCCCGTCAACACCAGACAGTATCCTCACATCGGTACAGTCTGCCTCCCACAGCAGGACCAGATCTTCGATGGAGACAACCAGTAGGTGTTTGTAACAGTTGTTGATAGTCTTTGTTATAAGATGAACCGTTTAGTGGTGCTGGCACTAGGAAGAGACGCTTGCAGACTAAGAACACAAAAAGTTGGAGTAGCCGATGGTCTAAGACAGGACAGAGCGCAGCTCCAGCAGCACTGGCTTCAGGTGCTGTACTCTGGATTAAAGTAAACTCTTATTGTGTGTAATTTCCAACTAGTATTTAAGTGAAAATGAAACGTAGCTCGCCAAACGTAACCCGCCCATTTGTGTAATTTGGTTATTAGTTATACAATTTTTATTTCTTTGTAAGTTTATATTGAGATTCTTTAGTTACAATAATGAGTTGTAGGCAACGAGAGCCACTATCATGCCACGGCATTATAGGCTTACAGAGTACTTAAAACTAGAGAAATTTATCATTGTTTGGAGTTACTAGCAGTATACATAATAGCTTAGGTTAGGTTGGACCATCAATAAGATAGTGTTTGATATGGTGTCTGTTAAGATCATGCAGAAACTGACGCACTATAACGCACTGAAAAATTAGCATGTTTGTTGCACGGGTTCTTACACATTAACACGAGATCTATTGTATACCCTCGAAAATGAGCACTTCAGGCGCTTTTACTTTCATATGTCACTCTATAGTGACACTGTGCACCTCAGTGCTATGAAGGACTATTCAGGGAAGGTTATCTGAACCACTAGTGACGTCCGCACTGAACTGCTGCTTCTCTCTTATGAGTCGAGGAACGTTCTTTTACCTTCTTAGGTAACAGTGAAGTCTTATATATTTAGGTTATCTTTTCAACTGAAGAGTTGTTGCGGCTCCGCTGAAATTATCTTAACATCTTTTTTCAGTTGAAATTAAAGGCCAAGTAAGAGCAGTTACCTCAACTCATTTCGACACCAAGACAGACTACCAACACCCAAGTATTTCTTTAATTCTAGGTTAACAATGGGCAGTAGGTGTCAAGACACATCACACATCACACCCAACATTTTGGTATAATGGAGATGTCAGCTCTGTCTCGCTGCTGCTGCTGCCACTAGGTACTAAAATGCATTTTTTCGTTACTCCTGATGTCGTCACTGCACAAATCTTTGAATTATGAACACTTCCTGACCCACTCTTCACAAAGATACCAATAAAAACTAAAATGAACCTCTATACAGGAGGCTGTTGGAGAAATTATCTCCTTGATCGCAGAATGCTTGACTAATAGGCAACAGAGTTTACATGAATGGGGAGAGAACAGAATGGGGACCTGTTAACACTGGTGTTCCACGGGGATCAGTATTAGGACTCTTGTTGTTCACAATATACATAAACGACATAGATGAGGGAATAAATAGCAACAAGAAAATTTGCAGATGACATTAAAATAGGCCGTCAAATAAGTTCATGTTGTGGTCGGAGAAATGGCAGATGCAGTGTTATGAAGACAAATATAAGATTCTAATCCTGGGGAAAAAAATAACTGAGACACCTATAGACTAAATAAGGAAGACCTCAATCAAACCAATGAAGTTAGATTTTTTTTTCCTTCATATCGAGAAGCATAATTAAAAGATGTTATGAGGTCCAGTTTCATATATCCTTGGTAAAACTTCTTTCAAATTATGTTAGTGAAGAAACAGAGGTGGAGGTACTACGACAGGACATCACAAACAGTTGGATAAACTACAGGCTGCTTCGCAAGTACATTGATCTATGCGTGGTTTTAGAGATCAGTGGATTCCAGGTTATGGCCAGCTGTTTTGTGAATGGTCCACTCTCTTACTATGAAAGAGAATAGGCCAATAATTACTTAATAATGGACAGTAATTGGTAATTTAAAATAGAAGCTAGGGCGGGCAGACAGGTGTCTATTAGATTGGAGCCTCTAGGAAGAAGGATAAGCATACAGGGTACAAGCTAGTAGATGGTTGTTGGGTCAGCGTCAGGTCAGGAGAGCACAGCACCGCCTTTACTCACATAGTTGTACTCACCTAGTTGAGGTTGCAGGGGTCGTGTCTTAGCTCCTGGCCCCGCCTCTTCACTGGTCGCTACTAGGTCACTCTCTCTTAACCGTGAGCTTTATCATACCTCTGCTTAAAGCTATGTATGGATCCTGCCTCCACTACATCGCTTCCCAAACTATTTCACTTCCTGACTACTCTGTGGCTGAAGAAATACTTCCTAACATCCCTGTGATTCATCTGTGTCTTCAACTTCCAACTGTGTCCCCTTGTTGCTGTGTCCCATCTCCGGAACATCCTGTCTTTGTCACAAACCGCGCACACATCTAGACAGGCTACAGGCCTGGTTCAGCAAATTGCTCCTGGAGTTCAATCCCGCCTAGTGCAAAAGTCATGAAGATTGGGGGAAGAGCAAAGAAGACCGCAGACAGAATACAGTCTAGGAGGGCCAAAGGCTACAAACCTCACTCAAAGAATAGGACCTTGGAGTGAGTATAACATCGAACATATCTCCTGAGACATACATCAACCAAATAACTACTGCAGTATATGGGTGACTAGCAGATGTAAGAATAGCTTTCCAGCATCTCAGTAAGGAGTCGTTCAGGACTCTACACCGTATACATCAGGCCCATATTGGAGTATGTAGTAACAGTTTGGAACCCACACCTGGCCAAGCACATCAAGAAATTAGAGAAAGTGCAGAGGTTTGCAACAAGACTAGTCCCGGAGTTAGCAGGAATCTACGAGAAAGGGTTAAGGGAAATTTACCTGACAACACTGGAGGACAGGAGAAACAAGGAGGGGGATAAACCATACCCCCGGCCGGGATTGAACCCGCGGTCATAGTCTCAAAACTCCAGCCCGTCGCGTTAGCCACTAGACCAGCTAGCCACAATAAGAGTCATCGAACTAGGTATATTTCTACACCATAGGAAAGTTAGCACAGGCACCACTGTGACCACAAATGCAAGTTTTTACAGACGAATCTCCAGCTAGCGTGGCCGTGACGAACTCTAGCTCAAGTCCCTTCACTGCCGTCAACATGACTCAAGAAATCGTAATGACACGATTGCAAATAAACCAGCTAGAGTTCGTCACGGCCACGCTAGCTGGAGATTCGTCTGTAAAAACTTGCATTTGTGGTCACAGAGGTGCCTGTGCTAACTTTCCTATGGTGTAGAAATATACCTAGTTGGATGAATCTTATTGTGGCTAGCTGGTCTAGTGGCTAACGCGACGGGCTGGAGTTTTGAGACTCTATGACCGCGGGTTCAATCCCGGCCGGGGGTATGGTTTATTTGCAATCGTGTCATTACGATTTCTTGAGTCAAGGAGGGGGATATGATAACAACATATAAAATACTGAGAGGAATCGACAAGGTGGACAGGGACAGGATGTTTCAGAGATGGGACACAGCAACAAGGGGTCACAGTTGGAAGTTGAAGATTCAGATGTATCACAGGGATGTCAGGAAGTATTTCTTCACTCAGAGTTGTCAGGAAATGGAATAGTCTCAGAAGTGATGTAGTGGAGGAAGGATCCATACATAGCTTTAAGAAGACGTGTGATAAAGCTCATGGAGCAGGGAGAGTGAGTAGTGAGCAGTGAAGAGACAAGACCAGGAACTGTGACTTGACTCCTGCAACCACAACTAGGCGAGTACATTCACATTTACACATGCACACACAAATACACATACAATTACACACCACAAACAGCCACACACAAATACATAAGCTTTACATTCTGTGGTAACTCAAAAAAGGGAGGTTGCCAGAGTACAGGATGGAAAACTAGGGGACTGGAGGATGAGTCTGAGAAGGATGATTGGGTAGCAGAGCTCATGGAAGAGAACAAGAGTGGGGAAGGGAGCTAGAAGAGCTTAGCAACAAAATGGGGGAGAGGATGACTGCAGAGAGTAGGAAATGGGATCTACAATTCTCAGCAGCAGAGGCTAGGATACAGAGTTTAAAACAAGAACTGAAAAAGCTGAAACAGTTTAAAGAACTGAAGAGCAGTAGGGCATGACAACAGGAACTGCTGCATCAATAACCAATGAAGGGACTGAAGTGAACAGAGGCCTTAAGCTGTATGCAGAGGCTCTATCAGACCACTGTGGTGCCTGGGAAAAGGCAAGGAGTGCACCAGAAACAATTAAGAGGACTGAAGGAAATGATGGAGTCAAGCCATATGCAGACCCTATCAGACCACCGTGGAGCCCAGGAAAAGATGAGCAGACAAGTTGGCTGAAGGAAACAAAAGAGCTAAGCTATATGCAGAAGCCCTAACAGATCACAGTGATGCCCAGGATAAACCAGGGAGGGAAAAATGACAGGCCATTGAGTACAGAGACAAAAGATAGAAAGGGGATTGAAGAAAGGAAAGCTGTGACAGAGGCAATTAAATTGGATCAGGTGATGCAAAGGGAAATGCAGTAGGAGGATGAAAGGGAGAGGTAAGTCTTTGTTCATGGGCTCCAGAAAGTCAGCAGGGAAACTTACAAAGCAAGACAACAGGGGGAAAAAAAAGTGACTGAAAGCATCATGAAAGTTATATGAGAGGACAACATGACCCAATTAACAAATTTTCTGAGAATAGGGGGGGTCACAAAGAGGAGAAACTGGTCAATCAAAGTGATTTTTCTAGTTAGAAACAGTGCAAAAGAGGATCCTGCAGGAGAAAGCATGACTAAGAGACACATCGACTTACCAGCAGGTGTACCTTGACCATGAGAGAACATGAGAAGAAAGACAGAAATTGAAAGAGAGGAAATAAAGATGCAAGGAGGAAAAGGAGACAAGGATGGAAATGGCAGGGGAATCCAGACTCAGGAGGAAGAGCAAATGCAACCACCCTCAGAACTACCTATAGAAGGCCCTCAACCCCAACAACCCCACTGTAACCAAACAAGCCAACCCTAAACCCACATGCCATACTTGCATCGACCATCCCCCCACCACAAATTCCACCATCAGAACAATCCCCCATAGCACCTCATCGGGTCTTCTGCTTCCCCAACCCCAACATACCCCCCCCCCA